ATGCGCTCCAATCAGAGGAACTTACAGAGAACTATCTCGCCTGCATTAAAAAAAAAAAAAACCCAAAACCCTGAGAGCAAGAGTCAGCTTTAAACACCTGCCATGGCCAGAATCTGTCAATGCTAGATTACAGTTATGTCTGTCACACAAGATCTTTTCTGTTCCTTAACTCTCTTTCCTGGCCCCTCCACCGCTGGCTGGTTGAAGGGGCTGAGGCAATGAAGAGGAGGAGGCCAGGAGAGAGGAGCCAACCCCACCCCAAAGGCCGCAAGCCCAAGCAGGTTTGGGTGGGTGGCGGGGAGGAAGCATTAACCATAATTAAGTTCAGAGTTTCAACCAACACACTGAACTGGGCATTGTTATTATTGAAATGAAACTATTTTGTGACTAGAAGAGAGAATTCGTATTAACTGAGAGTGCCAAAAAAATGTCAAGGGACTTGCCCCAGGCACCAGGAAAGAACCAGTCCTGCAGAGCTGGTTTGGTCAGGCTGTTGGGAAGAAGAGTATAAAGTTGTTTTCTGTTCTCACTTTAAGGTTTCTGGTTCTGCATAAAAGTGACTTGTTGGCCGGGTGCGGTGGCTCAAGCCTGTAATCCCAGCACTTTGGGAGGCCGAGACGGTTGGATCACGAGGTCGAGAAATCGAGACCATCCTGGTCAACATGGTGAAACCCCGTCTCTACTAAAAATACAAAAAAAATTAGCTAGGCATGGTGGCGGTGCCTTTAATCCCAGCTACTCGGGAGGCTGAGGCAGGAGAATTGCCTGAACCCAGGAGGCGGAGGTTGTGGTGAGCCGAGATCGCGCCATTGCACTCCAGCCTGGGGTAACAAGAGCGAAACTTCACCTCAAAAAAAAAAGAAAAAAACAAAAAACAAAAAAAAAACAACTCGTTTCAGCCGGATGAAATAAAGGCATCACTTCTATTTTGAGTCTTTTCTTCTGCATACCGGCAAAGGAGAGTCTTGCAACTTTGTTGCTAATAGATTCTCTGACTGTTTTGCAGATGCCTAATGGTAGCTGCACCTAGCCGAGATCGCGCCATTGCACTCCAGCCTGGGTAACAAGAGCGAAAATCCAACTCAAAAAAACAAACAAACAAAAAAAAAAAAAAAAAACAACTCGTTTTAGCTGGATGAAATAAAGGCGTCACTTTTTTTTTTTTTTTTTTTTTTTTGTGACCGAGTTTCGCTCTTGTTACTCAGGCTGGAGTGCAATGGCGCGATCTCGGCTAGGTGCAGCTACCATTAGGCATCTGCAAAACAGTCAGAGAATCTATTAGCAATAAAGTTGCAAGACTCTCCTTGGCGCACATGCGGATGAAAAGACTCAAAATAAAAGTGAGCCTTTCGGAGGTTGCGGTGAGCCGAGATCGCGCCATGGCACTCCAGCCTGGGTAACAAGAGCGAAACTCCGTCTCAAAAAAAAACAAAAAACAAAAACGCCTTTATTTCATCCAGCTGAAACGAGTTGGGATTTTTTTGTTTTTTGTTTTTTGAGATGGAGTTTCGCTCTTGTTACCCAGGCTGACTCGTTTCAGCTGGATGAAATAAAGGCGTCACTTCTATTTTGAGTCTTTTCTTCTGTATGCGGGCAAATGAGAGTCTTGCAACTTTGTTGCTAATAGATTCTCTGTCTTGCAGATGCCTAACGGTAGCTGCGCCGAGCCGAGATCGCGCTGTTGCAAAAAAACAAAACAAAACAACTCGTTTCAGCTGGATGAAATAAAGGCATCACTTTTTTTTTGAGACCGAGTTTCGCTCTTGTTGCCCAGGCTGGAGTGCAATGGCGCGATCTCAGCCCGGCGCAGCTATTGTTAGGCATCTGCAAAGCAATCAGAGAATCTATTAGCAGTAAAGTTGCAAGACTCTCCTGGGCCCACAAGCGGAAGAAAAGACTCAAAATAAAAGTGAGCCTTTAGGAGGTTGCTGTGAGCCGAGATCGCGCCATTGCACTTTTGCCTGGGTAACGAGCGAAACTCGGTCTCAAAAACAACAACAACAAAAAACGCCTTTATTTCATCCAGCTTAAGAGTTGGCTTTTTTTGTTTTGTTTTGTTTTTTTGAGATGGAATTTCGCTCTTGTTACCCAGGCTGACTCGTTTGAGCTGGATGAAATAAAGGCGTCACTTCTATTTTGAGTCTTTTCTTCTGTATGCGGGTAAAGGAGAGTCTTGCAACTTTGTTGCTAATAGATTCTCTGTCTTGCGGATGCCTAATGGTAGCTGCGCCGAGGCCAGATCGCGCCATTGCACTGCAGCCTGGGTAACAAGAGCGAAACTCCGTCTCAAAAAAAAAAAAAAAAAAGTGACTTGCTTTAGTGAAACCCTGTCTCTACTGAGAATACAAAAAAACTAACTGGGCGTGGTGGCACACGCCTGTAGTCCCAGCTACTCGGAAGGATGAGGCAGGAGAATTGCTTGAACATGGGAAGTGGAGGCTGCAGTGAGCCAAGGTCGCGCCACTGCATTCCAGCCTGGCACCTGGTGACGGAGTGAAACTCTCTGTCTCAAAAAAAAAAAAGGTACTTGTTTTAAACAGTCACTCTGGTTGCTGTGTGGAAATCAGACCAGAGGATGGCCCGTGTGAATGCAAAGGGTCAGTGAAGAGGTGACAGCTGGCTCCTCCACTTCCTAGCTGTGTGATGTTGGAAAAGTCAGTTAACGTCTCTGTGCATCAGTTTCTTCATCATTAAAGTGGTGCTAGAATGCTTTCTAGGGGTATTGAGAAGAATAAATGAGCTAATGCATTTAAAGTACTTAGAGGAGTACCTGACCCATAGCAAGGATTATAAGGTGTTTGCTAGTGTTTTTTTAAAAAAATTCTAATTGGGCCGGGCGCGGTGGCTCACGCCTGTAATCCCAGCACTTTGGGAGGCCGAGGCAGGTGGATCACGAGGTCAAGATATCGAGACCATCCTGGTCAACGTGGTGAAACCCCGTCTCTACTAAAGATACAAAAAATTAGCTGGGCACGGTGGCGTGTGCCTGTAATCCCTGCTACTCAGGAGGCTGAGGCAGGAGAATTGCCTGAACCCAGGAGGCGGAGGTTGCAGTGAGCCGAGATGGCGCCATTGCACTCCAGCCTGGGTAACAAGAGCAAAACTCCGTCTCAAAAAAAAAAAAAAAAGAAAAGAAAAGAAAAGAATTTGTTCAAAGTCACATGTCAACTAATGAAAGATATTTGAAAAACTGTCCCATAAAGAGGGAATAGACTTAGGCAGCTGAGGACAGAATCAGGACTAGTGGGGAGGTGTTAAAGAAGGCATGTTTTTGATCAGGATAATATTAGAACAAATAAGTTCTAACATTTAAGAGAGTGCAGTAGTAAGTAAGCTACCTCAGTACTACTCACAGTTGAATGACCTCATCCATTGGTCAGGAATGTCATTAGGAGGATGGGTCATCTAGATGATGATGCTGATTATTCTTTTTAGAGACAGTCTTGCTCTGTTGCCCAGGCTAGACAGGCTTAAGCACAGTGACATAATAATCGCTCACTGCAGCCTTGAATTCCTGGGCTGAAGCAATCCTCCCTCCTCAGCCTCCCAAGTAGCTGGGGCTACAGGTGTGTGCCACAGGAACATGCTAATTTTTCTATTTTTGTAGAGATATGGTCTTGCTGTGTTGCCCAGGCTGGTCTCAAATTCCTGGCCTCAAGCAATCCTCCTGCCTCAGCTGCCTAAAGTGCTGGGATTATAGGTGGGAGCCACTGTGCCCAGCCTCACCTAGATGATTCTTAAGGTTCTAACTCTAAATTCTGTGATTAAGATTTCAATTTCATCTTTTGATACTATTCTTCCTAAACCTTTTATTATAGCTGGGACTGGAAGCTTATATCAGCCATTTGTGTATGCATTTGTATCTCCTTGATATCCTCTCCTTCACCCTTCTTTTAGTTAATCCAAATTTCAGCCATTCTTTAAAATCTAAATCAGATATCTTCCCAGTTTTATACCCAAATGTGTCCAACCTGCAATCCACCCACTGCTTCTAACATTACTATACAGAATGTGTCCTTAATGAACGTTGGTTATTTGTTGAATGAATGAAAACTTTTCTCACCATCCCACTGTGATTTCACTTCTCACTCAATTCTTACAGTTCTTGTTGCTACCAGTCATTTCACACCAAATTTACTCTTTTAATTACCTTCATGAAAAATTACCATGCAGTGTAAAATTTGCAATAATAAAAATAAATTCAAGAAATACTGCATATTTTATGTAGCTGATACACTTTTCTCTACAGTTAGTTGTATTTTCTAGTTATGTTTCTCTCACAGAATATTTGTTATAAAAGGAATCTACACATCCTGTTTGTGCTCTCTCTGTCATCTAGAGAACTGAGGAGTGACCACAGAACTAAATTAAATTCCCTTTGAACCGGTTTCTTGAAAACTCCATAAGTGTTTTGTAGTCTCATAATTTCTTTTGACAGCTTCCTTTTCCCTCCCTGCATGGAGGCTCAAGGTTCTGCACTCTACCACCCTCCCTAGACTTCTCTGCTAAGGCTGAGTCCCCAAGGCCATGGGGCAGGAACCCTTTTAGACCTCGCCTCCCCTTGGAGCTCTGTCAGTTTTTCCTTTATATGTATTGAGGCTAAAAGCTTATATGGTCATGGTGAGTTGAACCTTTTATCATTGTGAAGTGACCAAGTGACCAAACTAGCCTTCCATCACTGGGATAAATCCCCCTTGGTGCCTGTAAACCCTGCACTTTGGGAAATCCAACGTGGGCAGATTATTTGAACTCAGGAGTTCAAGACCAGCCTGGGCAACATGGTGAAACCCTGTCTCTACAAAAATAACACAAAAACATTTAGCCCGACATGGTGGTGCATACCTGTGGTCTGAGCCACTGGGGAAGCTGACAAGAGAGAGGATTGCCTGAGCCCAGGAGGAGGAGGTTGTAGTGAGCCAAGACCATGTCATGGCACTCCAGGCTGGGTGAGAGTGAGACTCCACCTCCAAAAAACATTTTTTTAAAAAGTCATATCCAAAGAAAAAGTATCTATACATTCAGCTGAATATATTTTGTCTTACTTGGATTTTTGGGTTCCATTATAATGAGGTGGAAGCTGAATTGCTATTTCTGGAAATCAGAGAAAAGAAGGATGAAAGAAAACCTTTCAAACTACATTTTCAATGAAGCAAAGGAATAAGAGAAGACATGCTGTATTATTACAGGTAAAACCCATATCTATTAGGAGTGCACAGTGTGTATTTGGTATGTGTGTGTGTGTGTGTGTGTGTATATATATATTTGGGGTGTGTGTGTATGTTTGTATACATGATACATATACAATGCAACATTTTTCAGCCATAAAAAAGAAGGAAACCCTGTCATTTCTGATAATAAGGATGAACCTGGAAGACATTATGCCAAGGAAAATAAGCCAGACACAGAACAAGTACTACATGATCTCACTTATACATGGAAACTAAAAATGAATTCATAGAAGCAGAGAGTAGAATAGTGGCTACCAGAGGAGGAATGGGAGGTGGGGAATGAGGAGATCTTGGTCAAAGGATACAGAGCTTCAGTTATGTAGAATGAATTGTAACAGAGTGTCCCATTTTCCCTAAGATAAAAGGAATGAGTTATGGTTATTATTATTATTTTTCTTCTCTTCTTATCTCCCCTTTCCCCATGTTCTCTATTTCCTTCATAGCCCTTCAGAAGTGCAAACATATCTTTTCACCTCGCCATCACTAGACATACCCTTCAGGGAAGTTTATTCTGTGTGTTTCAAGATAGATCTCTCCTCAGGAGTGCACAGGTGATTTGCAGATCCAAGCATATTCATCACAGAACTTCCACTGTCCAGGGGTCACCTCAAATCTTACACCCACTAAGAGGGCATGTCAAAAGCATGCCCACCCGGTCACTTTTACAACTTACTTCTCGCCAGAAGCACATCACTTGACTGCCCAGTAGATAACCACTGGGGAGCAGAGAGACCTTCTGTGTTTGCTCACTTTCACCTTTAACTTATAAAAGTACACTTTTTGCTCCAAAGGTGAAGTATTGCATTTAAAGCAGGACACATTATGCTTCTTCCCTCAAGCTAGCTCAGAAAATAAATTCACCTTTTTTTTTTTTTTTTTTTTTTTTTGTGCCAGGCCTCACACTTAATTGAACTCTGCATGTGGTGAGCGACTAACCTGCTTTTGGTTACACAGTGAGTTTTAGAGACCTAATGTGCAGCAGGGGACTATTGTTCATGATGTATTGTATACTTGGAGTTTGCTAAAAGAGTAGATTGTGTGTTCTCACTACTATAAAAAAAAAAGAAACTATGTGAAGAGGTAGATATGCTAATTAGCTTGAATGTGGCCATTAGTTCATTATGTAGATGTAAAAACATCATGTTGTAGGCCTTAAATATATACAATTTTAAGAAAATTTTTAAAAAGATTCCTTTAAGCAAGCATTTACAGTAGCATCAAAACATTAAAACTATATGGCAAAGGATGTAGAAGCCTATACACTGAAGACTACAGAATATTGCTGGGAGCAATTAAATATCTTTGGAATAGGAGGTATTTATTCTCTCGTTTTTCAAGAGTGTTTTTTCTATTTGGGGATACTTGCAATTTATTTGAATAAGAAGTTCTTCTTTGTACTTTCTGGAAAAAAAATAGGTCACTGGATTTTGAATAAGATGAATCTGTAGATTGCTTGGAGTAGTATTTCCATGTTAGTGATATTAAATTTTCCAACCCATGGACACAGTATATTTTTCCATTTATTTAGTTCTTCTTTGATCTTTTAATGCAATGTTATGTAGTTTTCAGTGTACAAGTATTTCACTTTCTTAAGTTTATTTCTAGGTATGTTATTCTTATGGGCGCTATTATAAATGAAATGTATTAATTTTCCTTGAAGATTTTTAATTGCTAGCACAACTAGTTTTTGTCTGTTTATCTTGTCTGCTGCAAGGTTGCTGAATTAGTTTATTAACTCCAGTAATTGTGTGTGTGTGTGTGTGTATTTAGTATTTTCTCTCTAAAGGGTCATGTCACCTGCAAATGGAGCTAATTTTATTTTCAAAACCTTTTTGCTCATCTTTATTTTTGAAAGATGTTTTGACTGGCTATAGAATTCTAGGTTGACAGTTTTTTCTTTTTTCAGTACTTAAAGCTATTGTAAACTTCTTGTTTTTAATGGTTCTGATGAGAAATTGAATGTCATCCTTACAGTTAGTCCTCTGTATGTAATATGTCCTTTCACCTTTTCTCTTAGGATTTTCTCTTCATATACTGGTTTTGATCAATTTGAGTAATGTGGTCCTCGGTGTAGTTTTCTTCATCCTTCTTGTTCTTAAGATACATTGTTTCTGGAATATTTGGAATTTGTGGTTTTCATGAAGCTTAGAAAGCTCTCATCCAGTATCTTTTAAATATTTTTCAATCCCTTTTACCCACTCCATTCCCTTCAGGGATTCCATTTACCCTTATAGAAGGGTGTTTAAAGATTTCCCACTGATGATGGGCTTTTTACTTTTATAGATGGATTTTTCTCTGTCTGTTTCATTTATGTTAGTTTCTACTGCTATTTCTTCTAGTTCATTAATCTTTTCTTCTGCAAAATTTAATTCAGTGTATTTTTAAAATTTCAGACTGTAAACTGAAGTTTCCACTTCTGGAATTTGATATTTAAAAATATCTCCAATGTCTTCACTTAGATAAAATTATAATAACTGCTCTAATATCCTTGTCTTCTAACATGTGTGTCATTTTCAACTGAATTATTAAATTCTTCGTAATGTCTCATGTTTTCCTTCCTCTTTGCCTGTTTGAGGTTCTGACATTTGATGCCAGACATTTGATGTTGATGCCCAAATGTGCCCAATGACACAACGTGATGTCAGTTTCTATGCACACCCAAGCTTGTGCAGAAGGAGAGGTAGAGAGGTAGAGGAAGCCTGGACAAAGGAAGCATCCTCTGGAGACTTACGGTGAAGAAAGTGAATGAAGTAACTGGCAGAAACTACAAGTCCTGGTAGAACAAAATAGAATCCCAGAATGAGAACATATACCATGCATGTCCCCCAAAGCAAGAAAATATTTCCTAAAATCTCAAGAAAAATCACTTTTGGCTCATACCTTATATCAAGTGAGGTTATCCATTTACCAAGGCAGTGGGAAAAGTTTGTTAAGGATGCAGAACTCAGAGAGAACTGATCCTCTCATGAGGACATTGTGAAGGTTTAATGCTACTCAGTAAGTGATGCCTAGGACATGAACTTTTGAATAGCTCATAAGCATCATCATATTTAATTGTGGATCTAAACCAGAAACCAAGGTGGGGACAAGGTAGGAGACATTGACTGCCACTGGCATATGTTTGGGTTGAAACAACACTATCAGAAATGGCAGGTAAATAGATCAAAGGAAAATAATGTCTTTGTCATATTTAAAATGTATAATCCAACTATTAGAAATGTGTCAGGTTAAAAGGAGACTAGTGATGTCAAAACCTTTTTAGTGCAATGTTAAACAGGAGCTGTACAACCCTTCCTAAATAACAAAGAAAAGTCATACTCACACACACACACACACACACACACACACAAAGAAAACCACACTGACAAAGAAATACAGTAAATACAATCTACTACATATGATGAATATAGAGTAAAATATGGGAGAGTTTAGAATATAAACAGGGAAATAAGAATGTTTTTATTAATCTATATCTTTATCCATGAAAACCAATCATAAAACAAAACCTTAAAACATTGTATGTAAAAAATCCACTAGTCCAGAGTGATTGTCAAAAAAATTTAATTAAAGACATTTAAAACTTAAACTTTTTAGCTTTAATAGACTAAAATTAATTTTGGATACAAGTTAAAATTTGAGGATAGAATATTCTTTTATATGACAGAATGCCAGCAAAAGCAAATGTATAGTAAACTTTTGAGAAAGACAATTTCCAATATAAAAACATAAATATAATAACTGATACAGGCAGGGTTCATTAATTGATGATAAAATGCTCAGAGCAAGATTGTTAGAATACAAATATTAATACTTTTTCAAACCACTTTCCAAATTAATTATAAATAAGATGTTATTACAAGTGAGAGTTCCTAGACTCCTCCTTAACCAAGTGACCATCCTAATCCTAATATCACTAGAATAGGGATGAACACACTGGACCTTCTTTGCCCACAGATGGGCTGAAGTAGGAAGCTCACAGCATGACTCTGCAGTGTTCCTGACAACATGTTTAGGCTGAATTTAATCATGAGGATGTTTTCAGGCAACTTCAGAATAAAGACCTTTGAACCAGACAGCTGACCTGTCATCTACAAACAAGTCCATGTCACCACCATAAATGACAACAACCAAAAGAGGAAGAGATGTTTGGTGTTCAAAATGACTAAAAAAGATAAGCTACATAGTTTTTACTCTTTTTGAACCCAAAATGTCTCTTCTGCTTTTTTGTTTGATCTTGTTGGTGACATGGGTTGTTTGAAGGAGACAGGTCAGTTGTCCTGTTCAATGTTCTACATTCTGCAGTTGCCTGAGGATTACCTCCTATGAAATTCAGACTATACATTTTCAGCAAGAACATGGCATTGTTCATACTCTACCGGCAGAGTCCCGGGTGACATGCTGTCTCCTGCCAGTGGCTCCGCACTTCTTTTCTCTACAGGATGGGAATTGGGAGGAGCAGGGCTAAGGCTTGTCATTGCTGTGTGTCCATCTGAGAATTTGTCTCTCTAGGTATTGATCGCAATTTGACTAGGATAGACTGTGGCTTCTCAAATCAAAGAAACCTAGTGGGTTGAAATCATCAAGAGCATTCTGTGGTCTAAAATTCAATCCTCAGTGAAGGATCCCTGCAGTGTTGTTGTGTTTGGACTTGAACTTGCTTTGCTATTTTAGTTTTTTCTCATCAAGTGGAAAAGCTACTTTTTTTGTGACATCCTTTCATTCTTTGCATCCTTCCAGCAGTATTTGGTGTTTAACTTTGGTAAGTGCTTCCTAATTCCTCCGCTTGTTGTCTTTTTGTTATTTATCTTCCCTAACAAGAGTCTAAGGACAGCAATGTGGAAAGCGGCTTTCCATCTCGTCCTGGCTTCACTACAGGGGAGGACAGGTCTCCTCTGTATGTGCAGGAAGTCCCTAGGGCTAGTGAGGTCATCGAGAGTCATGTTTGCAGGTGCCATGAAGACAGTGGACAAGCATGTTAAGAGGGCTATTTCCTTGTTGGTGAGTACATGAAATCAGTGCACTCTGCAGCTGTCTGTATCCTGAATCTACAATCTGTGACTACCTTCACCTACCCTGTGTTCTTTCTGAGACCATTTCCATATTTTACCACCCATTACCCACTCCTGATTATTCAGTGTTACCTGGGGGCAGCTGATTCCTCTACTTTCTTGACCTCATCATCTGTATGATCTTCCTCATCTGTATGATCTTCATCATGTTTATCATATTCTGGAACTACAGAAGAGTCTGTTCAGATATTTCCCACTTCACCCACTGGAAGCACAGTCAGCCCTATGTGCACTGAGACATGAACATCCATGTATGGGTCTGCATTGTACTGAAAACTCTCCTGTTTTATCTCTAAAAAAATGCCCTGGCATGTTCTCCTGATTCATGAGGGAACGTGTTTCTGACCTGGAGAGTCACCATTAAGATGTGGTCAAATATTGAAAAGACATCTTGCTCCCCCTATTACTGGAGGCTTGTCCAGCCTTTCTCTAAGCTTCAGCAGCTGTCTCCCCAATCCTGCCACCGTTCTGATACCCAGGCACAGGCTCTGCATCCTGTCACAGCTTGCATTAAAAACTTTTCTCTTAGGACAGGATAAACAAACTTGTACCACAATACTCCATACATTGGGGACTTCATGGGCCCTCCAAGAGACTTCCACTGTGCTATCCAGGGACACTCTCTCCATGGGGAGTGCTTCAGTCTAGACCACTTCCTACCACAAAATGCCCCCACATCAAGTGCCTTCTCCAACACCACACAGCAAGGGGCTTTACCTCATTGTGAAATATAGTCGTAAGTGTTCCCACATTTGAACGCAAGAGACAATTTGTCTGCCTTTACAGATTTAGTGACAGGAATGATTTAATTGGTTACCCACAGTTGCTAAAGACACTGCTGAAGATAGAGCCTGGAACCCTTATTCTTAGTCCAGGGCTCTTTTGACTCTAACAAGCTGCCTCCTGTCACAGCCTTCTTCCTGTCCTTTAAAACTGGACAGATGCTGCCTCTTGCCTTAAAGACCATGTTCCAGCAAGAAATGAGGAGACACTTGCAATCCTGTGACCTCCAATCCCAAGGGTTTCCCATCTCTGTTTTTGCCCAGGATGTCCTGGTCATGTCATGGCTACAAATTTTTAGTGGTTAGAAACACTACCCATAAAATTGTCATTGTGTAGGTGTGGAGGTTTGGAGGTCTGGGGACTTTCATAAGCCTGGGGCTGTGTGTCATCAGGGCCTGTGCCCACCTTACCTGGGCTGAGCTTGTTGACAAGATGCTCTGTCAGCCTGTGCTTCTCAGCCAGCTGCTCTCCGAGGTTCTGACCCTGGGACTTGACAGGGTCATCAGTGAAGAGGGCCTTGAAACGCTGATTCAGTGACTGGGAAGCATCTTTCTCTCCCTTCCCATAACTCCTTCTGTAAATTGGTCAGCTCTTTTCCCTGAGAGTGAACCAGGGCTTTATACTGCCTATGGTGAGATAGCAGAGAACGTTTAATAACAGAAAGTGATGAGTCATCAGTTCGAATACTGCAATGGAGGTTTAGGTGAGAATGTTCTCAAGGAGCCCTCCAAGCAGAAGGTCACAACATGTTTGGGGAAATGCCTGTGGCCAAGATATATATACATATACGTACATTTGGCAGGGCATGGTGGCTGACGCCAGTAATCCTAGCACTTTGGGAGGCTTAGGCGGGCACATTACCTGAGGTCAGGATTTCAAACCCAGCCTGGCCAACATGGTGAAACCCTGTCTCTAGTAAAAATACAAAAATTAGCCAGGCATGGTGGTGAATGCCTGTAGCTTCAGCTACTCAGCAGGCCAAGGCAGGAAAATTGTTTGAACCCTGGAGGTGGAGGTTGCAGTTAGCTGAGATTGTGTGACTACCCTTTAGCCTGGGTGACAGAAATGAGACTCCATTAAAATATATACACACACACACACACACACACACATATATATATATAATACATATATATTGTATTTATATATACAAAGGCTTCCTCTGAATCAGAGAGAGCTCCTGTAAGATCCTCTATGATGTTCCACTCATTTATGTCTTCTGTAAACAAAAGTCTGTGTCTTCCTAAGTCAGTTTCAAGGGGATGTCCTTTCAGCTCCTCACTTTGGCCATGGACATTTCTATGTGAAAATTCACATACTGAATCTTGCAGTGACTGGAAACAGAGCTGTACACAGACAAGTGGCCAGGGGCAGATGGAGTGAATTGGAAAGATGAAAGAAGAAAGGAATGGCAGGTCAAGAAGGCAATATTGATTGAATGAAGAGTTGCTGCGGTCAGCGAGGAGGTGAATCTAAGAGTACATGGGATAGAGTGTACTAAACGCTGCTGGGTGGTTCACTTTCTTTTAATTAATTTTAGATATGCAAATTTTGACTCAACATTTGGTTGTTATAAAAAGTGTAATCAAAGCTCAAGGAAACAACTGCAGCCGGTAACGTGCTAAGATGACTGTTCTGTTGTATGAGTGCTGCTGTGAAATGTGCCTGCCACGTAAATGGCTGTCCTGGTCCTGGTCCAGCTTAGCTGCTGGTTCTCCCAGCTGAAGTGCTGCACTTCAGAGATTCACACCTTTGCCCCCCACCAGTCCCCACAGCGTCTGCTCACCTGAGCTCCTCAATGAATTTGAATTCCTCATAAATGGTCTGCTCTCCGATTTCATAGATGTCTCTCTCCAGAGCCTGGATGTTGAGGTGGTATGCATCACAGTCTGAGAAAAGAAAGTCATGCCTGCCTCAGTGGAAGGCTGGACAGGCTGTTGTGGTCACTGCCTACATGGCAGGTGGCAGCATTTATCCCAAGAACAAAGGCATCTCCACTATAAGGCTCCAGTGAGGGATTTCCTCATTTTTAGTTATAAACCTCCCGACTCACTGGCATCTGATACTCTCCAACTTAGAGATGGGGAAAAAGAAACTCAGTGGCACATCAAGTAACTTGACAGGATGATTCACCTGGTATGAGACATGCCTGCCCCAGAGGATGGCAGTGGAAGTCGTAACGTGCTAAGATTACTGTTCTGTTTTATGAGTGCTGCTCTGAAATGTGCCTGCCACGTAAATGTCTGTCCTGGTCCTGGCCCAGCTTAGCTGGTTCTCCCAGCTGAAGTGCTGCACTTCAGAGATTCACACCTTTGCCCCCCACCTGTCCCCACAGCGTCTGCTCACTTGAGCTCCTCAATTAATTTGAATTCCTCATAAATGGTCTGCTCTCCGATTTCATAGATGTCTCTCTCCTGAGACTGGATGTTGAGATGGTATTCATCACAGTCTGAGAAAAGAAGGTCATGCCTGCCTCAGTGGAAGGCTGGACAGGCTGTTGTGGTCACTGCCTACATGGCAGGTGGCAGCATTTATCCCAAGGACAAAGGCATCTCTACTATCAGGCTTCAGTGAGGGATTTCCTCATTTTTAGTTATAAACCTCCCGACTCACTGGCATCTGATACTCTCCAACTTAGAGATGGGGAAAAAGAAACTCAGTGGCACATCAAGTAACTTGACAGGATGATTCACCTGGGATGAGACATGCCTGCCCCAGTGGGCGGCAGTGGAAGTCGTAACGTGCTAAGATTACTGTTCTGTTTTATGAGTGCTGCTCTGAAATGTGCCTGCCACATAAATGTCTGTCCTGGTCCTGGCCCAGCTTAGCTGCTGGTTCTCCCAGCTGAAGTGCTGCACTTCAGAGATTCACGCCTTTGCCCCCAACCTGTCCCCACAGTGTCTGCTCACCTGAGCTCCTCAATTAATATGAATTCCTCATAGATTGTTTCTTCTCCAATTTTGTAGATGTCTCTCTCCAGAGACTGGATATTAAGGTGGTATTCATCGAAGTCTGAGAAAAGAAAGTCATGCCTGCCTCAGTGGAAGGCTGGACAGGCTGTTGTGGTCACTGCCTACATGGCAGGTGGCAGCATTTATCCCAAACAAAGGCATCTCCACTATCAGGCTTCGGTGAGGGATTTCCTCATTTTTAGTTATAAACCTCCCAACTCACTGGCATCTGATACTCTCCAACTTAGAGATGGGGAAAAAGAAACTCAGTGGCACATCAAGTAAATTGACAGGATGATTCACCTTGGATGAGACATGCCTGCCCCAGTGGAAGGCAGTGGAAGTCATAACGTGCTAAGATTACTGTTCTGTTTTATGAGTGTTGCTCTGAAATGTGCCTGCCATGTAAATGTCTGTCCTGGTCCTGGTCCAGCTTAGCTGCTGGTTCTCCCAGCTGAAGTGCTGCACTTCAGAGATTCACACCTCTGCCTCCCTGCCTGTCCCCACAGCATCTGCTCACCTGAGCTCCTCAATTTGCCTGAACTCCTTGTATATCATCTCTTCTCCAATCTGAAATATATCTTTCTGCAGAAACTTGATGTTATGGCTATGAATTCTTGAGTCAGAATTCATAGCCCCCAAAGTCTGGCTCTGAATGCTGGGACAGTTTTTCAAGGTTTGCCACCTCTCCTGTCAAACACTCTACTGGGGCATGAAGTAGTGATATCCTGCACAGTAGGAAAGGCCCTTAGGTGTATGGGACTCATGGATTCCCTGGTACTGGGAATTTTTAGCACAAATATGTCAAAGATTCTAAGTTATATCTGAATATAATTGCATAAATATGAGGCTTAAGGCCCTGAGGTCATGATAGAAATATGACCAAATACTAATAAAGTTTGAATTAAGTGAGAAATAGTAGAATCAAGAACTAATAGATAGTGTTTGCTCTGTGCCAAGAATTGTTCTAGCAGATTTAGAAGAAACAGGTCAGGTAATTCATTGCAGCAATTTACAGAGCTAGGTATTATTATAGTACCCAATGAACAGATGAGGAAACTGAGGCACAGAGAAGATAGGCCACTGGGATTGAGACCAGGAGACTGGTCTGGGCTCCCTGCTCTGCACATGGCACTGCTACCTCCCCAATGTCTTACGTGCTATTTTTCTTCCTCTTCAGAAAAAGAGCCTGTGCCCCAGGATGCAGGACTTCCCTCTCCCCAGATTACTCCCTGCTCTTCATGCTGTCACTTATGGATGTCACTATTACTATTAGGAGCAGTCTCCTCTTTAAGCTCTATAGAGCAGGTACTATGTACTGTTCCCACATTTCCCCTCGGGTTTTCTGAAGAGAGATTTACCTATTGGGCCTCAAAGAAGCTTAAACGGAATGGTAGTTCATTAGTTCCAGGCATTTAGGCCAACAGACTAGATGTTATTTGTCTTCAGGATCTTCTAGGGTACAGAGAGCATTCTCATAAACATGATTGAGCATCTTGCTGAGAAAAGCAAGTGGTTCTGTGCCTGTGTCAGAAGTCAATAAGTAGGATTTTAACTCTAGTCCCACCTCACATCGGACTGCTAACATGGAAAAGTTGCTAAATACATTGTGCCTCTGTTTTCCATCCTTAACACAATGAAGTTAAAGTACACATTTCTGTTTTTCTAGAACTAAGGAAAGGATGAAATTAATTTTGATAAAGAGACTGTTCAGTATCTCAGAGAGAAGACAGGTGCTTATTCATCACTTTCATGATGTTGAATCTATAAAACCTACCATATTTCTTCAGCTGCTTGACCAGAGAGTAGGCAGTAGCTCGACTTATAAGAAATTTCTCTTTGAGGTCTTCAAACTGCTGTTGGCTCTCTGCCAGCTGGGAGCACAATTCCTGATAGATTTCTAGGATGATCATCTCTGCCCTGTCATGGAACAAATGTGTGGCAGTTACCACCATGCTGACGTTTGTGGCAGGAGATTTCACACAGGGGATAGGGGAGAAGGAACCCAAGCACATGATGGATCAAAAACTAGTGAAATCAACTAGGTTTAGTCAGGACCGAGGGATGACAACAGCTGGAATTGTTGACTTATGGTTGTGAAGAACTTGATCAATACCCCACAGCATTTTAGAATCCTTAATAGCAAAAAAATAGTTTAGGATGCTGAGCTCAGAGCCAAAGGTGGGGCTGTCATGGAATCTCAGGAGCCCTGCACTCCAATTGCCCAGGCTGTGCTGAAACCCAAGGCCCCCTGGTCTCACCTTAGAGTCATTGATGGGGACCATTTCCTCAGCAGTCCCTCTCAGTATTTGTGCACCTTTGTGACAGTGCTGCAGACTCACCTCTTTCTCAATATATCTAAGCATATTCCTTGTTGTTTATCTCTTGTGTATATAAAATCATCAAGGTGGAGATAGTTTTTCAAGAAGTTACATTTTCTTTGTGGTAGTCAGGAAGTCACTGCACCTTCTCTAGTTAAAGCAGATCTTAAGGCTTTTCCACACATGAAAGATATCAAACTTTTAGACTGCCATGATATCTTCTGTGTTCTGCATTTTTGTTTTCTGTACCTACTGAAAAGTTAATGAATAATTTATCTTTAAAAATATTTTCTCCCCTGACTCAGTGTTCTCCTCGATGCATCCCATTGTTATGTTGATTTCTTTTCTCTGACTGGGGTAGCATCTTGGCTTTTTATTACACTTAAGACCATTTCACATCCCTATGTGCAAAGCTCTTCCTCTGTCTGTGGGTTGATTTGTTTCCTTAATGTCATTGAACACTCATTTTATACTTGTCACTTACCAATATCATTGTGTCCCACAAGAGTTCTTTTCAAGGTATCAAGTGATCAAAATCATTTGCGTATATCCCCTAAAAACATGTGTGAACATATATTTTGGGAAGTCTTGTAAACCTAATGCTATTTTTTTGTTTTTATTTAGTTTTCCCATGTATTGAAAGGAATAGGGCCATGAACACTTCTTATGGAGTATTGTTGGAGAGATACATTTATATATAGTTGCTATAACACCATTGATGTGTTGTTGCCTTCCACTAACAGAACCTGGCAAGATCATGGTCATGGTCGGGGTGGTTGATGGTCCTCAGTGTTCCTGTGCAGTGTAGAAGGTGAGTTTGGGATGAGAGAGACCTCCTCACTTTCTCAGCTTTCTTTCTCACCTAGATTTTGTGAGGCTAGCACTTGGGAGATTGTCCCATACCCAAATCTTCTAAGTTTTGATGCTGAACTTGCATGAGTTGAAGGTGTAATGAGAGTTACATGGGTTACTCAGCATTCAGGTAGAAGTGAAGAGAGGAAGGACTGGGTCAATCCCATTTGAAAACGTGCCTCTCAGCAGCCTGTACCATACTCCAGCTACACTGTGTAATGACAGTGCTTTGAGATGTATCAGAGGCTGTAAATAAATCAATTTTTGGTGTCTTACAGACCTGTCATTCTGTGTCAGAATGAAAATCTGTTAAGTTTCTTCATTTTAAATATGATGAAATTGCAGCTTCACAAAGTTACATGGTTTACTTGAGATCATACAGTGATGAGTTTTGAGCACTGCCAGTAAGAACAGTTACAATAATTAATCAGAAATTGTTTATAGAATCCACATAATTCAGTAGATTCACATAATTGTTTCATAATTATTCACTGACCAATTTGTACTAGGCATTTTGTTCAAAAGTTCACATGTAGCTGGATATCATATTTTCATCATAATCATTAATGCAATGTTATCATCTGTAAGAAACAGGTAAAAAAACTGAAGAAGAGGGATAGCCAATCATATATTTGACCATATTTTCATTTTTTTTCCTGTGGTTCTGGTCAAATGACCAGTATGAGTCATGAGAAGAATATTCATTCTTGTATCATTTCCCAGAACCTAGGTGTGCCCTCCTAGACTATTGGGACCAAAATTCAGGCGTGTGTGCACCTTGCTTTACAGTGTGGGGAATAGCCTCTATCACCTAGAATTTCCCTGGAATATTGGAATATACAAAAGAAGTATGAGACTTGGATCTGCCCTTGACTGTATTTAATTCACTCTTCTATTGAACAGCAATGATTCTCATTAGATGACTTTTGCCTTTTTATAACAATGATATATATTTTATGGGGAAGATTTTACTCTTAGCTCTATTTAGAAAGAATAAACATCAGCTATAGTTTAAGTTTTATGTTCTGGACTTAATATTTTCTGATTTCTGTTTTGAGATTAAAGTGTTATGTAAATAGGAAAACACTTGTTATTACTTATAAGAGTAAATTAGTTACTAGTTTCAGTTTCTGAAGTGGAAGCAAAACCTTTTGTTTTTAATCTTTGATTATACCCATCAGCACTGCTCATTGTCTATCAGTATGACCTGGCCATGCTCTTCCACTTACCCTCATCCTGCTGAAGCATCTCCACACACTGTTCAATTCCATCAGTGATTCACGCTCCTCCCAAAGCTCCCTGAAATGGTTCCAGGTCTCAGGATGTCAGACACAATCCAGATACAAAAGCAACACATACCTCAGAGCGGGCAGGTGGGTTCCCATTCTTCTGAGGTTGGCTGTCATGTCCTAGGTAAGGAAGGAATGCGTTCCCTTTTTAGGGGGTCTATTTGTCATGTCTCAGTGCCTGTGATCTAGTGAACACAACTTCCTGAACATCAAAGAACGTGCTAAATGTTTGGTTTCTTGTTATGTGGCTGGAATAGAGTTATAAGACTTTTTTACTTACCCATGCCTGCTGAAGTTTGAATTCTTGGCAGTATGATTTTTTTTCTTGTGAGGTGATCAGTTTGCAGAAGATTGGCCCTGTTGCTTTGCCAAAAGAGCTAAACTTTATTTCAACTCAAAGCAAGCTTGAATTTGAAACTAGGGCTTCTGCTCTTTCAGTACTGGACTGCCATTGTCACTGGCATGTGTCCAGAAGGACTCCTGTGTCTGCTGTACTCAGGCTAAGGTTCAGAAGAGCCCAGAAAGCCAAGTCTCCTTCACTTCTAGGTTCCCCCAATGGTTTCTCTTCAGCTGTACTGACTGCATTGAATATATTTTTGCTCTGCTTTTGTGTTGTGGTTTGGAATAATATGATGCAGCTCAGTTGTTCCCAACCCCAAGTTGATCAGAGTAAGAAACACCTGGGAAGGTCAGTGATAATACAAGTTTATTGTCCTTCTTGCAGGGATCTTATTCAGTGGGCTCAAGTGGGGACTGGAAGGTGTTTGTTTGCCTGATTCAGATGTGCAGTCAGTTTGGGGACCCTCTGATACCATGAACCTTACAGTTGATGGGAGATTCTTTCTGTTTTGTTGGTGATGAAACCAAGGCACAGAGGGTCTGTAACTTGCCCAAGTTTCCTTTGCTGTAAGTACTGGAGACAGATCTCACGTACAGTCCCTCTTCCACAAATCCCTTCCCACATTTTCCAACTCAGTTGTTTGGGCTTTTTCCAAGGAGATGTTTCTCTCCCCTGTACCTCAATTCTGCCAAAAAAAAAAAAAACTTTTTGAATTTAATTTATTTTCTCACAGCATGCTGGCAGCATCCTATTCTAACCTCTTACTATTACTGTGAGATGCCTCTTTTTGAGACAGGGACTTGTTCTGTCACCCAGGCTGAAGTGCAGTGATGATTATAGCTCACTGCAACCTCAAACTCCTGGGCTCAAGTGATCCTCCTCTCTGAACATCCCAAGTAGCTGGAACTCTAGGCACATATCACCATTCCCGGCTATATATTTTTTCATTTTTTGTAAAGATAAGGTCTTGCTATTTAGCTCAGGCTAGTTTAGAACTTCTGGCTTCAAGCAATCATCCTACCTAGGCCTCCAAAAGGGCTGGGAATACTGGAGCGAGCTGTAAACCACTCAATTTGGTTCTAAAATGCTTTTTTAAAAAATAATAGTAAAAATAAAAATACAGGGTATGGAATATGGAAAGATACCTCACTTTATTACTGTTATATTTTTCTTCTAAAGTATAATCTTCTAAAGTATAATTCATATATAACAAAATTTAATATTTTTAAGCATACCACTCAGCATCTTTTACTATATTCCAAAGGTTTTGCAACCATCACCACTATTCGAACCAGAATACTTTCATAATGCCAAAATGCATGCCTGTACTTTCTGCCAGTTACTCTCCAATTTCACCATTTTTGCAGTCCCTGTCAGCCACTAATCTACCTTCTCTCTCTCTGGATATACTTGTTCTGGACATTTCCTGTATATGGCATAATGCAATGTGGCCTTTTGCATCTGCATCTCTTATGTATCACAAAGTTCTCAAGGTTCATCTTTGTTGTACCATGCATTGGTACTTCTGTGGGGATCGCTCCTGCGAAGGGCCCTTGACAGGACCCACGCCATCTTGAGCTTGAGCCCATACACGTTTCTCCTCTCCTGGAGGCTGTTGAGCTAAGGGAAAGGAGGAAGTCTAGTTGCACTGATTTTATAAACATCAATCGTTGCCTCTGACATTTGCAACAGAATGGCTGAGCTCAGGCCTTGTGGTCTAATGAGACATTGTATGGGTAGACATTGTGTGCCTCCTAGTTCCTTCTCTGCACAATAACTGTATGACTTCATTTACCTCTGCTAACTCAATCATATTGTTTGCATATGATCCTATATGAATAGGCAAGGTTAGAATGACATTTAGAAAGGTCCAGCTATACCTTGTTAACAATCTTACTTGCTTGCTTAACTGATTTTAGAAAAACACATGTTTAGATTTATGATCTTCTTTTTGTAAACTTTATTGTCCCTTTGCTGTACACCCTTTGATTAAGAGTCATACTTTCTGTACCTCTTTTCTTGTGATTTTTGTTCTTGATTTTATTTCAAGATACAATGGAATGTACGTCACTCCTCAAACACTGAAAGGTATATAACCTGTAGTTTGCACAAATAAACTTGCTGTCTTGGCACTTCTTGCTCTGGCATTGCCTGGCAGTCCTCCAGACCCCACTCTCTATCTATCTTTTCTTCCGCGCACTCCCTCTTCCAGGTCAAGAACACTTGAGTGGGGCTGAGGCTCTCCGCTGGTCGGAAGCCCCCCGGCAGACGTGCCGGACCCCCACATACTTCAGTCCTTTTTATGGCCAAATAATATTCCATTTTATAGTTATACCACATTTTGTTTATCTGCTCATCAAAGGATGGCTGTTAGGGTTTTCCACTTTTTCACTATTTCACTTTTCCACACTTTTCACTATGTTTCCACTTTTTCACTTTTATGAATAATGCTGCTGTGAACATTTATGCACATGTTTTTGAGTGAACAGTTGTTTTTAATTTTCTTGATTATATACCTAGGAGTGCAATTGCTGCCTCATATGTGACTTTATGTTTCACTTTTTGAGGAATTAACAGACTGTTTTCCAATCTCAGTGGCTATACCAATTTGCATTCCCACTAATATATGGGAATTCTGTTTTCTCCATAGCTTTCCAAACATATGTTGTTTTTTTTGTGAAGTCGTACTGGTGAGTCTGATGTAATATCTCATTTTGATTTAAGTTTGCATTTTCCTAATGATGAAAAACATTGAACATCTTTGCATGTGCTTTTTGGCCATTTGTATGTATCCTTTACAGAAATGTCTATTCAAACCTTTTCTCTCATTGTTAAATTGGGTAATTGGGCTTTTTTGCTGAGTTATATGAATTCTTTATATACGGTAGATACCAGACCCTTGTCAGGCATATGATTTGAAAATAGTTCTTCCAATCTGTGAATTATCTTTTAACTTCCTTGGCAGAGTCCTTGGAAGCATGAAATATTTTTTTATGAAGTCCATTTATCTATTTTGGCATTGCTTATGCCTACTGAAGAAATGTTTAATCCAAAGTCAGAAAGATTTGTAACTATGTTTTCTTTAAGACATCACTTTTGGAATGAGAACTTTCCTGGGTTTTAGTGAAGAGTGGACATTGCTTTTTCATGCCTTCTGTCCATTTCTGATATTTCTCCTGATTGGTATTTATATGCACTTCATTCCTCCATGGAGCATCTCATGGGCTGGAACAGAGCTCTGGGGACTGGTATCCTTCCACTGACCTTGACGCTGGTGAGAGCCCTGATTATGTGATTCAGCTGGCCTTAAGCCAACTCACTTGAACATATTCCTCAGGACATCTAGAGTAAAAGTCAAGAGCCTCTCTGAGAACACTTGGCAGCCCATGCTGTTCTAAAGCCGGAGCAGACTTCCTTAGTCTATTACAGAGGGAACTGCATGGGTTGACTGGGTCATATATATGCAGAGTCAACCCCTGCAGACACTGTGTTCAGAATAGACTTCTTTCACCTCTGGCATTAGAAAACAGACCTGCTTTATGGTTTGGGGAAGGTTGTTCGATATGAACTAGGTCCTCTCTAATTATTTTTACTGTATGTGTGACTTCTTCCAAGAAACAATGGAAGAATATTTATGTTAGAACTTTTTGTCAGTTGTTGTTTGTCTACAGTTTTAAAGTAGATAAAGGAGAGCTCAATGTAAATGTATTAATACTTAATTATGCTTGATGCCCACTGCCATAAGATCATATTTAATTGTGTATACGAACTATTACTTAGGTATTGTCCTGTTCCTGATGAGAAAACAGACTCAGAAAGATTACAAAATTACCCTAGGTCACAAATCCAGTGATGAATCAAATAAGAATTAGAAAGCAGTTTCTTTTGGCCTTCAAAGCTTACTTTATACCATTAGATCAAACTGAATGATAGTACTTTTGCTAGAATAAGTCTCAGAGTGTGGTTCTAGACTGATTTTCCATGAAAACATTGAGTCATTTTAGTAGTATTTCAAACTTTTAAATTTCAAAGTCTTTTTTAAAATTATACCTTATTGTGTTTGTCCTATTCCATTTTTTTCTTTTTTCCTCAACAGATTCCTATTATTTATCCACTCAATATTTGTTACCTATCCTCTGTCAATTTTTATTTCTTTGAGCTTTTGTCACCTTTTTGTTTTATGCTAACAGCTCTTCACTAAGGTATAATTTGCATGGTGTAAACTACAAGAAAACTTATGGGTACAGCTTAATGAGTTTTAATATAATTATACATTGTATCATAATACCCATATCAAGGTAGAGAACATTTTCCTCTATGCCAAAATGTTCTTATGTGTTCCTTGCCAGTCATACTCATCCCCCAAATGAGGAATATATTCTAAATGTTGTCACTGTATTAGTCCCTTTGTGTTGCTATAAAGGAATACCAGAGACTCAGTTAATTATAAAGAAAAGAGGCATATTTCCAACATAGTTCTGCAGGCTGCACAAGAAGCATGGCACCAACAACTGCTTTTAATGAGGGCCTGAGGCTGCTTCTCCTCACGACAGAAGATGAAAGGCAACCAGTGTGTGCAAAGATCGTGTGGTGAGAGAGGAAGCAAAAGAGAGAGACAGGAACAGTGCAAGACTCTTTAATAACCAGCTCTTGCAGGAACTAAAAGAGTGAGAATTCACTCACTGCCTTCTCCTAGGGAGAGGATAAATAAGTTCATGGGGGATCCACTCCCATGATCCAACACCTCCCATTAAGCCTAACCTCCAATGCTGGGGATCAAATTAAACATGAGATTGGAGGGAACAAATACGTAAACTCTATCAGCCATGGCAGATTAAGTTTACTTATTTTTGTGCTTCATAACAATGAAATTATTCAGTATCTTCTCCTGTTTTGACTTCCCTCACTTAGGTGGCTATATTTGCTACTAATTTGTTTGATTGTGACTTTCTCTCATTTCATTTTGTTTGGCCTGGTAATATCCTATTTATTGTATAATTATTAAACAATTTAATATCCATTTTCTGATGGTAGACAGGTTTACTTGTTGGCTATTATGTATAAGCAACTATGAATATTCTTGTACAATCTTTCTGTGAGTATACATACTCATTTCTCCTGGGTATCTATAACTAGGGATAGAATTGCTCAGTAAAAGACTGAAAACAGCCACAGAGTTTTGCAAAAATGTTGTATTATTTTACATTTCTATGAAAAATGTAGGCTATTTCCAGTTGCTCTACATTGCCACACACTCAATGGTATCAGTCTTTTAAATTTTAGCCATTCTATGAGGTGTGTAGTGATATCATCTATTTTGGTTTCACATGCCTATTGGTCATTTAGGTATCTTCTTATGTAAAGCACCTTTTCAAATTTTTCTGATTATTGATATACTGGGTTGTTTGTCATTTTCTTTATGATCTGTTGGAGTTGTCTATATATTTCAAATAAGTCCATTGTTTCATACACATATATGTGAAGCATTGAGGCTGAGAGCCTCTCTGACAATGCTTGGCAGCCCATGCTGTTCTAACGCTAGAGTGGACTTCCTCAGTCCATGCCAGACAGAGGAAACCATAGGGTTTGGACCCAGGCAAGATTATATACATATATTTACAATATAATTAATAATTATGTAATATATATATGCAGCATGCACATACATTGCAATAATGATTCTTGGTCTCTGGATAGTTTTTGCCTTGTTAAACACTAACCTATAATAAGCAGAAGCTTTCTAAAAATGAAGTTCAATCTGATTTCTTATTAAGGCGAGTGCTACAATATCTAGTCTAAGAAGTAATTTCCTATGCCAAGTTTGTGAAAATAATTTCAATTTTTCTTTACAAGATTTCTAATTTTAATGTTCACATTTTAAATTAATTACAATGTATGGTAGAAAGTGGTTTTCATTATTAACTTTTAAAAATAAGAAATATTTTTTCAGTCAAGAAATTTCTATTGAAAAGTCTTTCACATCCCCAATGAAGGGCATTGGTGTATTTATTTTTAAACTGTACATATGTGGGCATATTCTTTACATAACTGTACATATGTGGGCATATTGTTTGAATCTGTTTTCTTTTATTTTGATATATTTATGTATACTTACATCTGTACCATATTTTTAATTTTTAATTTTTTTTTTTTCCTGCAACCTCTGCCTTCTGGTTCAAGCAATTCTCCTGCCTCAGCCTTCAGAGTAGCTGGGACTATAGGCATTTGTCATGTCGACCAGCTAATCTTTGTATTTTTAGCAGAGATGAGGTTTCACCATGTTGACCAGGATGGTCTGGATCCCTTGACCTCGTGATTTGCCTGCCTCGAGCCCCCAAAGTGCTGAGATTATAGGCGTGAGCCATTGTGCCTGGTCTTAGTTTTTAAATTATTGTAACTCTAAAATGAGTTTTGAAATCTAGCAGAGTAAGTCCTCCTACTTTTTCAAGAACAACTTGCTTGTTCTAGATTATTTGATTTTTAAATACATTTTGAAATTAGCTTTTAAATTTATTTAAAAGCTCCTATTAAAAATATTAATCAGAATTATGTTGATTTGATATTCTTACAAAATTGAGTCTTCCAATCCATGAACATAATATATATTTCTCTATTTAGTCTTCTTTAAGTTCTCTCACCAACAGCTTTTAGGGGCTTTGTACCTGCTGCATTATATGTATTCATGTATTGCATGAAAACTTTTTAATAACACATGACACATCGTGTGTTATTTAAAAAGTTTTCAATTTTACCAAATGCTTTTTTTGCATGTCAAGATAATAATGCAGTCTTTCTCTTTTGTACTGATAATATGGAGGATTATTTGGGGTTTTCTGAAAATATAAAAAGATTTATTGAATAAAACTATGACAGTTTTAAAATATTTTATACTGTTTTTACAACTGTACTGAGATACAATCTACACACAAATTTGCACATAATTAAACTTTGTGAATTTAAAAGTTTGAACATAAGTAGACATCTGTAATCAAGATAGTGGATATAGGCTGGGCACCGTGGCTCATGCCTGCAATCTCAACACTTTGGGAGGCCAAGGCAGGCGGATTACTTGATCTCAAGAGTTGAAGACAAGCATGGGAAACATCGTGAAACCACATCTTAAAAAAAAAACAGAATTAGTCAGGCATGGCACAATGTGCCTATAGTTTCAGCTGCTTGGGAGGATGAGTTGGGAGGATGGTTTGAGTTCAGGGGACAGAGGTTGCATTTAGCTGAGATTGTGCCTCTGTGCTCCAGTTTGGATGATAGAACCAGACCTTGTCTAAGAAAAAAAAAGATAGTGGATATATCTACCACTTCCAAAGTGTCCTTGTGTTCCTAGTAATTCCTCCCTTACCTTTCTTACTCCAACTCAGACAGCCACTGATGGGTGTTCTGTCATAATAGATTAATTTAAATTTTCTAAAGTTTTCTATAAATAGAATCATACATTATGTATGCATTTTTGGTTTATACACTTATATATTTTGGTATTTGGGTTTTTCATTCAGAATAATTTTGAGATATAGCCATGTTGTCAGGTATATTAATAGATAACCCTACTATACTGCAGACATTGAAAAAATGTTCGCTCCTTTTCTTTTTCATAAGACCTCCCCTAGTTCAGGCCCTGTCCCTCCCATGATCAGGACAGTCCTCTTTCCAGTTTCATCCCTCAAATGGATGAACAAAGTCCAAACCAAACCAATTACATAGAAAAAGCATTCTCATGTCAACCAACTGTTTTGGAAAAAATGGACATCCATAAGCCAAAAAAAGAAAAAAAAAATCCATAACCAATGCTGGCGAGGTTATGGAGAAAAAGGAAAACTTTTATACAATTGATGGGAGTGTAAGTTAATCCAAGCTTTGTTAAAGACAGTGTGGCAATTCCTCAAAGATCCAGAGGCAAAAATACCATTTGACCCAGCAATCCCATTGCTGGGTATACACTCAAAGTAATAGAAATCATTCCATTTTAAAGATACATGCCTATGTATGTTAATTACGGTACTATTCACAATACCAAAGACATGGAATCAGCCCAAATGCCCCTCAATGATAGACTGGATAAAGAAAACATGGTACATATACACCATGGAATACTATGCAGCCATAAAAACGAATGAGATTATATTCTTTGCAGGGACATGGTTGAAGTTAGAAGCCATTATCCTCAGCAACCTAATCTAGAAAGAGAAAACCAAACACAGCATGTTCTCACTTATAAGTGGTAGCTGAATGATGAGAACACATGGAAACATGGGGAGGACAACACACACTGGGGCCTGTCAGAAGTGAGGGGTGGGAGGTGGGTGGAGGAAGAGCATCAGGAAGGGTAGCTAATAGATGTTGGCCTTTATAACTAGGTGATGAGATGATCTGTGTAGCAGACCACCATGGCACATGTTTACCTATGTAACAAACCTGCACATTCTGCACATGTACCCCTGAACTTCAAAGTTGAAGAAAAAAATAATAATTTAAAAATCCATTTAAACCTCCAAACTTGCACTACAATTAAATCAAAATTGATTACAGAACTGAATGTAAACTGCAAAACTAGAAAATTTTTGGCAGAAAACAGAAAAGAAAATCTTCATGATATGGAGTTAGGCAAAGTATTCTTAGTTATAACATCAACAAAACTATTAAAACTTTGATTAATTCAACTTTATACAAATTAAAAATTCTTGGTCAACACAAGACACTATTAACAGAATAAAAAGACAAGCTACAGATTGGGAGAAAAATGTGAAAATCACTAATATGAAAAAGAACTTTATAATATGAAAAAGAACTTTATAACTTTTTATAATTTTTTTATGTTTTAAGTAATGAATGATGATAAATATGCCTAAATAAAAATGATGATAAAAAAGCCACTACAGAAATTTAGAGATTGGCTGTTCAGGTAAGAGTTGAGATTTGTTTTGTGGAAAGACTAATTCTCTTTGCAGTGGCCATGGATCTGTTCCTCTATGCTAAATGTCTTGTGGGAGGAGTGTGTTTTGGGGGGAGTGTTCACTGGTACTCTTCAGTGGCCTGAAGTGACCCATTCTAGGAATTGTTAATTATGGTGCCAAAAAATAATAATAAAGCTTGATTAAAAAAAAAAAGGACTTGTGTGATGGTCAATTGTGTATGTCACTGTGATGGAGCCCCAGGGTTCCAAAGCAGTCATTCCTATGTCATGTATTGGAAGGGGGTTCTGGATGACATTACCCTGGAATAGGCAGACTATGTGAAGCATACTGCCCCCCCTAATGTGAGTGGCCTCATCCAATCAAAGGACAGAAAAGTAAAAGACCTAATAAGAAGAAAATACTTTCCTGGTTATCTAACTTTGTCTTGGGAATTTCAGTCTCCAGAATCTCATGTTCAAATTTCTGTGTTTGTGTACACACACACACACACATACATACACATGATATCCCTATATACACATACACACACATATATGTCATATATATACATGTATATTAAGATATATGTACACACACACACTTCATACGTAAGATTAGATTGTATTTTTTAAAGCTCAGCCAGTCATTGATAATTGTTTAAGCTGGCCAGTGATTATGGGGATGATTCTCTCTTTTTTTATACTATTTAGTATAAAATTTTAGTATATAATTAGTATATGATTCTGTCTCCTTTTTTATACTATTGAAGTTCTACATTTGAAGAAGTAGGGTAGACTAATAGCTGAATTTCTCTACATACACTTCAAAGCCCTAGGGATTAACAGAGAGTCAAAAATACCGCCAATAATCCTGCCTCCAACCAGGGCTAGGAAACACTGTGGACCCCAGGTAATTTTATTTAGCTGGGTCTGGGAGCCACACAACAGCACAGGGAGAAGAAAACACTATGCAAATAGAGGACAGCATAGCAGGGAGGGCCTGTTCATGACAGTACACAGATCAAACCATTCTCATACAGTGAGTGTGGAGAAACACAGAACATGGCTGAGACCTAGTGGTTCAGAAGCCTGCTACTGGGGAATTGAAAGGCAGAGGCTTCACAGTGCAGAAGACCAGAGGGGCCAATCATTGAAGGGAAGAATTACTGGGAGACCAAAAGGCCTGGACCTCTGGAGACTTGTGGTGAAGAGAATGAATGAAGTAACTGGTAGAAATTAAAAGTCCTGGTAGAACAAAATAGAATCCCAGAATGAGAGCACACATACCTGTCCCCAAAACTCGACAATATTTCCTAAAATTGCAAGAAAAACTCATTTTTGGCAAGTACTGTAAATGTAATGATGCTATCCAAGTATCGAGACAGTGGGAAAAGTTCACTAAGCATGCAAAACTCAGTAAGACCTGATTCCCTCATGAGGACTCTGTTAAGGATAAATTCCACTCAAGTGATACTTGGGACACACTTTTGAACAGCTCATAGGCATCAGCCTATATAATTGTAGATTTAAACCAAAAACCAAGGTGGGGACAGGTGGGACACATAGGCTGTCACTTTGTTTGGGTTGAAATAACAAATAAGAAATGGCAGGTAAAGAGGTTAGAGAAGAGGAAAATAATGTATTTGATTGTCAGTGGTACAATTTTGAAGTCGAAAGATATAATTTAAAATTTATAAACCAAATAGAAGTGTGTCAAGTTAAAAGGGGATTAGTGATGTCAAAACCTTTTTAGTGCAATGTTAAACTGGAGCTGTACAACCCTTCCTAAATAACAAAGAAAAGGCACACACATACACACAAACACAAAAAGAAAACTAATAACATCAACAAATACAGTAAATACAATCTATCACATATGGTAAATATAGACTAAAATATGGAAGAGTTTAGAATATAAACAGGGAAATAAGAATGTTTTTATTAATCTATATGCATATCTGCTAAAACCAATCACAATAAAAGCTGAAAACATTATATGTAGAAAATCCACTATTACAGAGTAATAGGCAAAAACAATTAAACAGATTTAAAACTTACACATTTTAACTAATGGACAAAAATTAATTTTGGATAAAATTAAGATTGGGGCAGAAAAGTCTTTTTCACAACAATGCCAGCAGAAACAAAGTAAAATTAATTTTGGATGAACATTGAAATTTGGGCAGGGAATATTCTTTTTTATAAAGAATGCCAGCAAAAACAAGTATTTAGTAAAATTTTGAGATAGAAAAAATTTTCAGATTCATTGATTTTTTGAAGGGTTTTTGTGTCTCTATCTCTAGCTGTGCTCTGATCTTAGTTATTTCTTATCTTCTGCTAGCTTTTGAATTTGTTTCATCTTGGTCCTGTAATTCTTTTACTTGTGACAATAGGGTGTTGATTTTAGATTTTTCCTCACTTCTCATGTGGGCATTTAGTGCTGTAAGTTTCCCTCTAGACACTGCTTTACATGTGTCCCAGAGATTCTAGTATGTTGTGTCTTCATTCTCATTGGTTCCAAAGAACATCTTTATTTCTGCCTTCATTTCATTATTTATCCAGTAGTCATTCAGGAGCAGGTTGATCAGTTTCCATGTCGTTATGTGGTTTTGAGTGAATTTCTTAGTCCTGAGTTCTAATTTGATTGCACTGTGGTCTGAGAGACTGTTTGTTATGATTTCCATTCTTTTGCATTTGCTGAGGAGTGATTTACTTCCAATTATGTGGTCAATTTTAGAATAAGTGCGATGTGGTGCCGAGAAGGATGTATATTCTGTGGATTTGGGATGGAGATTTCTGTAGATGTCTATTAGGTCTGCTTGGTCCAGAACTGAGTTCAAGTCTGGGATATCTTTGTTAATTTTCTGTCTCATTGATCTGTCTAATATCGACAGTGGAGTGTTAAAGTCTCCCACTATTGCTGTGTGGGAGTCTAAGTCTCTTTGTAGGTCATTAAAAACTTGTTTTATGAATTTGGGTGCTCCTGTATTGGGTACATATCTATTTAGGATCGTTAGCTTTTCTTGTTTAATTGATCCCTTTACCATTATGTAATATCCTTCTTTGTCTCTTTTGGTCTTTGTTGGTTTAAAGTCTGTTTTATCAGAGACTAGGATTGCTACCCCTGCTTTTTTTTGCTTTCCATTTGCTTGGTAAGTCTTCCTCCATCCCTTTATTTTGAGTCTATGTGTGACTTTGCACATGAGATAGGTTTCCTGAATACAGCACAGCAATGGGTCTCAACTCTTTATCCAGTTTGCCAGTCTGTCTTTTGCTTGGAGCATTTAACCCCATCAAACTATTTACATTTAAGCTTAAATTAAATATTAACATTTAAGGTTAATAATGGTTATGTGTGAATTTGATCCTGCCATTTTGATACTAGCTGGTTGCTTTTCTTGTTAGTTGATGCAGTTTCTTCATTGTGTCAATAGTCTTTACCATTTGGTATGTTTTTGCAGTGGCTGGTACTGATGTTTCTTTCCATGTTTAGTGCTTCCTTCAGGAGCTCTGGTGAAGCAGGCCTTTGGTGATGAAATCTCTCAGGAATTGCTTGTCTGTAAAGGATTTTATTTCTTTTTCACATATGAAGCTTAGTTTGGCTGGATATGAAATTCTGGGTGCAGTTCCTCAAGGCTCTAGAAATAGAAATACCATTTGATCCAGCAATCCCATTACTGGGTATATGCCCAAAGGATTATAAATCATTCTGCTATAAGGACACATGCACATGTATGTTCATTGCCTTACTGTTTACAACAGAAAAGACTTGGAACCAACCCAAATGTCCATCAATGATAGACTGGATAAAGAAAATGTGGCACATATACACCATCAAATACTATGCAGCCATAAAAAAGGATGAGTTCATGTACTTTGCAGGGATGTGGATGAAGCTGGAAATCATCATTCTCAGCAAACTGACACAAGAACAGAAAACTAAACACCACATGTTCTCACTCACAATTGGGTGTTGAACAGTGAGAACACATGGACACAGGGAGGGGAATATCACACACTGGGGCCTGTTGGGGGTTCGGGGTATAGGGGAGTGATAACAGGGGATGAGGGGATTGGGGAGAGATAATATTAGGAGAAATACCTAATATAGGAGATGGGGGGGTGGATGTAGCAAAACACCATGGCATGTGTACACCTATCTAACAATCCTGCATGACCTGCACATAGATCCCAGAACTTGAAGTATAATAATAATAAAAAAGAAAATTTTCAATGTACAACCATAAGTATAATAACTGACACAGGCAGGGGGGATTAATTAATGATAAAATGTTCAGAGAAAGATTGTTAGTATATAGGATATTTATACTGTTTCAAACCACTTTCCAAATTAATTATAAATAAGGTATCTTTACAAGCAACAGAGCTCCTAGACCCCTCCTTAAACAAGTAACCATCCTAGTATCACAACAATGAAGGTGAAGACACTGGGCCTTCTTTACCTGCAGATGGGCTTAGGTAGGAAGCTCAGGGCATTGACTCTGCAGTGTTCCTGGAAAAATATTTAGGCTGAATTTAATCATGAGGACATTTTGACTTCAGAATGCAGAGCTTTGAACCAGACAGCTGACCTGTCCTCTACAAACAAGTCCATGTCACCACCATCAATGACAACAACCAAAAGAGGAAGAGATGTTTGGGGTTCAAAATGACTAAAAAAGCATAAGCTACATAGTTTTTACTCTTTTTGAACCCAAAATGTCTCTTCTCCTTTTCTATTGTGTTTTTGGTGGTGACATGGACTGTTTGAAGGAGACAGGTCAGTTGTCCTGTTCAGTGTTCTACATTCTGCAATTGTCTGAGGATTACCTCCTGTGGAACTCAGGCTAAGTGTTTTCAGCAATAACATGGTATTTTTTGCCATGAACAATACTCTAGTCTGGCAGAGTCCCAGGTGATACGCTGTCTTGTCCCAGCGGCTTTAGACTTCTGTTCTCTACAGGATGGAGAGGAGCAGGGCTAAGGCCTGTCAATGCTATGTGTCCATCTGGGAATTGGTCTCTCTAGGTGTTAATCACAATTGGATGGGGATGAACCATAGCTTCTCAAATCAAAGGAGCCTGGTGGGTTGAAATCATCATGAGCATTCTGTGGTCTAAAATTCCATCTTCAGCAAAGAATCCCAGCAGTGTCATTGTGTTTGGACTTGAACTTGCTTTGCCATTTTAGTTATTGTCATCAAGTGCAAAAGGTACTTTTTGTGACATGCTTTCAACCACTGCATCCTTCCGGCAGCATTATGTATCTGTAGGTACATAATCAGTGTGGGGAAGTGTAAACTGGAGAGAGAGAATAAAATAAAATGAGCATTTTTGTCAGGTCCTCCTTAAGGCTGAATCTGGAGGGATTGTTAAGTGGAGGGATGCTATTCAAGGGGCAAACCAATCTCCTTCTAGGAGCATGAGCTGAGGGGTGAGCCTTGGGATGGCTGAATGGGGAAGTGTCATCCACAAGAGAAAAGAAAACACCCCAGAACTTCCCTGATCTTCTGGTCAACCTGGTTGCAGGATATAGGGACCCCGCCTATGCCCAACCAGCAGCCGGGATCATCACACTTTTTCCTCCTGATCCCCTTTTTCTGGAGCAGAATAATGGCTTTTCCTCCCAGTTAGGATGTGCTGAGCATCAATCATGCATGCTCAGACACAGAGGCTGTAGAAGGAGAGGGCATTTTACAGAGAGATCCACTCCCTTACAACTCCATGACCCAGTCTTCTATGGAGAATCGGGAGGGCCATGGGAAGAACTCTGGATATAAGAAGCAGCAGGAACCTCAGACAACATCCATGACCACTTCCACCTTTTAAAACTGAGGAGTAGTGATGCCACTGGGATACAATTGAGCTAAGGCCACATGACTTGCTATTGACAACCCAGGAATTAGAGACTACTAACTAAGGCCCTTTCAATAAAGATTGGAGGAAGCAAGAGGAAAGGCTCCCATCTGGAGGTCTCAACAGTCATGAGAGGCTGTTGGGTTACCTTGGCTAGGACAGAAATTAGGTTTTACAAAGAAATATAATGTCACTGCTGCTTGTTTGGTTGGTTAAAAATAAAAATAAATATAAGTATTCTTCTAAAGGGGATCAGGAAAGAAAGAAATTTTTTTAAAAAGAGACTCGAAATGGAGTTAGCAAAGAGAGAGCGGGGACTGTAACCACAACCCAACTTAATTTCTGTACTGCTCTGAAGTTGATTCCACACCTAGCTATACCTTAAGGCATTTCTGGAAACATTAGTGTGTGTTGTACTACATTCTCCCCTTTCATGTATTGTTCTTCCCAAGTATATTTTGGGAAAGATTTCTTTTTTAGCATTCTGTGCCAGTGTCAAGAGTGGCATAAAGAAGTATTCACGTGCAATCTCTTGTGAAAGTTCAGTCTTGATGTGTTATTGTCTTCTCGTCAGGAGAGTGAGACCTATGAGGTCTCTTTGGTGGTTTGGTGGAAGGACAACAATTGACCAATAGCAAAATGTTCACATTGCAGTGATGAGTCAGTTAGTGGCTATAAATCAGTGTGGGGAAGTGTAAACTGGAAGTTTTATCTTAAAATGCAAAAGGAAATATAAATTCCCTGTTATGTAATATGGAAGGTAGTACTTCTATACATTAGGTGTTAACGTAACGGCTATTTCTCACTTTATCTTGTACTCAAAACTGAGCAAGTGAGCTTCAAGCAAAGGTGAAAGGCCTAATCTATTAATTTTCTTGTTTTTCTTACTGATTCTTTATATGCTGTAAAAACAGTACTACTGAGAGGATAATACAGATGCCATCAAAGGCTAATGGATGCTCAGTTTTTTCTGTGGAGTAGCCACACATACGGGGCACTTCCATGTTGGTAACTTCAAGTCATAGTAGACCAATGGTCCTTCTCATCTTTAGCCACTTATTAGAATCACCTGG